CCTGGAACTAGCTCTTGTAGACCAGGCTGCTCTAGAACTCACAGAGATTCGACTGCCTCTGCCTCCCAAATGTTGGGATTAAAGGCGTGCGCCACCAATGTTTGGTGTAAGATTCTGTTTGTTTTAATTTAGGTGTATGTGAGTTTTGCTTGAACATACCTGTGGAACATGTACAGGACCAAATCTAAAAAAGACTAAGAAAGTAGGAATAGAATTCTGAAGTAAAAAGGAGAAATAAAAATAAAGGAACAAAGATGGGGGAAATCTAAGACAGGAAGGGAAGAGAATTCCTTGTTTTATTTATATACGTGGATTCAGCCCATAAAGATAAATGTACAAATGAAACTAACCTGGTTTTCTTCCTGCACAACTCGGTACTGCTCCTTCCAAATGGTGATTTTGGAAGCTTCATCTTTTCTCAAGGCTCGCTCTTTCTTCAGCTCTGGACTCCAAAAGGTCTTGATGCTATTCATCGAAGAACTTAATTTGCTTTCCTTTACTTCCACATCCTTCCTCAAGAGATCATTTTCTCTTAATACTTCCTTTAGCTGTGTCTGCAGATCCATGATGGTGTTATCTCTTGCCTGACGAAGAGAGTGAGGTACAGTGGATGCCATACTAACAGGAGGGAGGTGATGTTCTCCAAATGCTATGGTATCGCTAGCAACCCCGCTGCTTGCTATATTGGGGCTACTGCCCATCGCAGTCATCCTAACACCATAAGGCAGGCGTCCCCCAGAACGGCCAAGTGTCATGGTGCTTTTAGGTGTTTCTGAACCCATGTTTTCATGGTCACTTAGATACATAGGGCCAGATGTAGCATAGGCAGCATTTAAGGACTGTATATTCTCCATTGAAAGGGTTTTCCCACTGCCACCTCCAACACTGTTTCCAGAACTCCCTCCTGTACTATTTGTTCGCCGATGACCTAATCGAGGAGATCGAGGAAGCCTCGGTGATCGCCCAGGACTCTGGCTGCTTGGTTCCACTTTCCCTACTGATCGAGCACTTCCATACATGGTTGCAGGGTGAACTTAGGCGCCAAAGATGTTGTAAAGCAGAAAATAACAATGCAATTCTGTGAGGTTTCTCTATGGCTATAAAGTCAGCTTAAGGCTACCAGAAATAGCAGGTCACACCAGCTGTCCAATCTTGAAGAAATACCTTATGCCATATCTGTAATGAAAAGATCACACATTAAACCCCCAATAATAAATATTTCCCATCTCAGAAATGTTCTATTACCTTTATTTGGGAAAGAATCTACTTTCATTAAGTATTCTCATGGCTTTAAAATCAGATAACCCATGTGATGTTTTCTATCTGAAAATGGGAGAGTATCAACTGATAATTACAAAGTGACACATCTGAATAACAGAACTCAGACTATTATATAAAATCAAAGTATAAATATCAATACTTGGTTACAATATCAGAACTAATAAAAGAACTCAATGCATTAGTCAGACATAAAATCAATATATAAATATTAACACCACATATTATCAAAAGTCATAACAGCTAAACATACTAGTATGATACAAGATTGGTATTTAAATACCAACACTTTCATGTACACTGGGAATAACAATTAGAAACTAGCTTTTATGGTTAGGAAGATGGACCAGTGAATAAAGTGCAGCCATGCAAGGATGAGACCCTGACCTGAGGTCAGATCCCCAAACCCAGGTAGAGCTGTATGCAATAGCATGTATCTGACATGCCAGTATTCCTATGATAAGATAGAAGACAGAGAAGGGAAAATTTCCCAAAGTTCAGGGACAAGCTAAAGAACAGGAGACCTTGTTTCAAACAAGGTAAAAGCCAGGACCAACACCTAAGAGTGACCACAGCAAACACTCAAACATGTATAACACACACACACACACACACACACACACACACACACACAGAAGGAGGGGGAGCTGGGAGAAGAAAATGAACTTTTAATTTAAAAATAAGAAACTCGGGCTGGGGATATAGCTCCATTGGAAACAAGATTTGCCCAGCATGAACAAAGCTCTGGGCTTGAGCCCCAGCACTACATAAAACGGATGTTGTAGCATACACATGCCAGTAATTTCAGCACAAGAGGAAGAAAGAGCAGAGTCAAGGTCATCCTCACTACAAAGTTGAGTTTGAAGCCAAACTCACATATATGAGACCCTGACTCAAAAAACAGTCTTATTAACAGCAACAAAGCTATAAAAGTACTTTAAACATAAGAAAAATCTTCAAGCATTTAAAACTCTACTGGAAGACATGAAATAATACCTCAAGAATAAGTAAATAAATAAAAAGGTTATCCATGCTCCCAGACGAGAAGACAAATGCTGTGAAGGACTAGTCCTTCCCCCAGCTCGTTAGCACAATCTCGGGGGTGGCTGACTCTAAAATTCAGATGGAGGACTGAAAGTACAAGAATAGCCCAACTAGGCAGGCATGGTGGAGCAGAGCAGGCAGAGGCAGTAGAATCACCACACATTTGAAGTCCATGTGGTTTATAAGCCAAACACCAAAACAGCAGCCAAGGCCACATACTGAAACCAGTCTCAAAAAAACAAAAAGCCATAAGACCGCTTCATGTGTAAAGGTGCTTGCCACATGTGGTGGCTTGAATGAGAATGGCCCCCTCAAGTTCCTGTGCTTGTAGAGCCATAGGTTGATGTAAGTTATCTTCTTCAATTACTCTCTTGCTTACATACATAAGGATCTCTCACTTAAACCCAGAGCTCACAGATTTGGCTAGTCTAGCTAAGCAGTCTATTCCAGGGATTGTCTGCCTCTGTCTTCAGAGTTCTAGGATTACAGGCAGGTAGGCAACTCCTGGATGCTGAGAATTCAAACACTGGTCCTCACATTTGCATAGCAAGCACTCTGCTAAGCCATTTTGCTAGTCCCTTCTGAAACTTTTGTAATTTGATTGTGTAGTTCTCAAGTATGAACTCTGAAGAAGACGCTGTGTATCAATATCAAAAGTATAAAAAATACCCGGGCCAGTGAAGACACTTCATCAAGTGAAGGTAATTTCCACCAAGCCCAACAATTTGAGTTCAATCCAAGGGATATGGTGGAAAGAGAGAAATGACCCCAAGTTATCGCTAATGGCTACACACAAAATAAAAAAGCATCTGGGAGGCTGAGGCAGGAGAACTGCAAATTCAAGGCCAGTATAGGGTACAAGACAGGACCTTGTCTAACAAAATAAGAAAGAGCATGTAGTATTTTCATGTTTTTTTTTAAAAAAAAAAGTCCCGCTATAAACTAAAACATTAAATAAGGACCATTCAGCACTAATAATTTTCATAGTAATCAATGACCAATGACAGAGGTCTGAACTCTGATTGCTGTAGCGTGAATAATAAAAACCCAGAGACGGACATTGGGATTAAAGCTGAAGATCAGAGAAGCAAATCGCCATCCACTAGAGAGTTCTCATCTCTACCAGTGATCAGACCAAAGGGGCGATCCTGTCCTCTGATTTCTTCTCCAAACACACTGCTCCTCCGACTGCCCCTGACTACACTGCTGCACAGACTCACTGAGACTGCAGACTGAATACACTCTGAGACCCTGTGCTCCTATCTTATATACCTCTCTAGTGCTGGGATTAAAGGCATGCACCATCACTGCCTAGCTTCTATGGCTAACTAGTGTGGCTGCTAGGATTAAAGGTGTGTGCCACCACTGTCTGGCCTCTATGGCTGTGACTAGCTTTGCATTCTGATCTTCAGGCAAGCTTTATTAGATCATAAAATATCACCACAGATTGCTAGTATTTCTGTGAACAGTAGGCTTTAAAAAAGAGAAAAGAAACTTAAACATTAAAGAATACATCTTTGCTCCATCTTTTGCATGTAACGTAGTAAAACTAGGTTTGTTCAAGCCATGTGCTTGATTATGCAAGCTTAGCCTGACTCTTCAGTGTCTACTGGAAACTGGAACTACAGTACACTGGCTAAGGCAGCACCGCCACAAGGGCATAGCAACTTGAAAGAGGGTCTCTGGTAGGAGCAGCAAAATATGGAATTAAAGGTGCAATCATATTTGCCATTGTTACCACTTCTCACTTTTACAGAAGGGTTAGTAACTCTGTTACAAATCAAGTGGATTACAGGTTTTAATAATTCTTATCAGTTAATCAAGTTAATTGTAAGTTCTATCAACATTCTCACCATGACAAATACATTGTCAAACAGATACTTAGGAGTAAACGGTGGTATTAATCAGGGCCCCAGACTTCTATCAACAATCTGCCACTCAGCTCAAGGGCGGCAAGCCCCCCTTAACACCAGGCCTCACTTATACCATGATCTTTTAGAATGCTAAGATATTCAAATTGCAACTTTAGTTATCTTGCATTTTATACCAAGTCTCACCCTAAATAAAATAAACCACGAGCATGGTGTAGTGTGATAAGGGCATGTCATCCCAGCTACTTGATTGCATAGAAAGGTGATGAGAGATGTTCTTGCCATTTTCCCATCTCAGAGAGAGCTGTTCGTCTTCATCTCTGATAATTCGAAGCACACTAACACATAGAGTATGGTCAAGCCCAGACCTGATAAGATGAGCCTTTTTTTTTTTTTTGGTTTTTTGAGACGGGTTTTCTCTGTGTAGCTTGGGAGGCTGTCCTGGCACTCGCTCTGGAGCCCAGGTTGGCCTCAAACTCACAGAGATCAGCCTGCCTCTGCCTCCTAAGTGCTGGGATTAAAGGCGTGCACCACCAACACCGGCTATGATGAGCTCTTTATTATTAGGCAATTTATCATTTATGGCAGCCAAAGTGCTGGTCCTCTGGACTTTGTGCCACTCATCAATGGATAACAGAAACAAAAATGTGTAATTGTCAGCTTGGGGACATTAATCACACAGAGTCTTATTGTATGCCTGGCCTTAGCTTGGCTTGATTCTTGCCAGCTTTTCTTAACTTAAATTATCCTGTCTATCTTTTGCCTCTGGGCTTTTAACCTTATTTCTGTATACCTTTCTTTACTTCTTACTCCATGTTTTGCTGGGTGGCTGTCCCCTGAGTCCTCCTCTCCTTCTTTGGCTTCCAGCTCTCCTCCCAGATTTCCCCTCCCCTGTATTCTCTCTGCCTGCCTACCCTGCATATCATTTCTCCTGCCTTTCTATTGACCATGCAGCTCTTTATTAGACCAATCAGGTGTTTTAGACAGGCAATGACAGTTTCACAGAGTTAAACAAATGCAACATAAAAGAATCCAACAAATCTTTGCATCATTAAACAAATGCTTCACAGCATAAACAAATGTAACATATCTTAAAATAATATTCTACAACACGGGCTGGAGAGATGGCTCAGCCATTAAAGGCTAGACTCACAACCAAAAATATTCTACAACACAAGACGATTTTTTTCTTTTTCCTAGAGACGAGATCTCATACAGACCAATCCGCCTTTTAGTTCCTGACCATCCTGTCTCCACCTCCTTAGTGCTGGGATCATAGTATGCTCCTTCCTGTGTGTATGAATGCAGGCATAATCATGCCTTGACCCACGTGTTTCACAAATCAGAGATAAAAAACTCAAGTGTCTGCTCACCTCCCACCTTATCTATCCTACCCAGTGCTGCTAGCACCACCACCCCTCTTTTTTTTTTTAAGGAGACATGGGTGCATATAGCCCAGGCTAGCCTTGAACTAGCTATACAGCTAAGAATAACCTGGAATTCTGATCTTCCAGCCTCTACCATGAGTTCTGGGGTTTCAGCCTCACACCCTCATGTCCAATTAATAAGGTGCTGAGCATCTAACACAGAGCCTCAGGCACAGTAGAAAAGCACTCTACCATTGAGCTATATACACAGCCATGTATGTTTATTTCACTATGCTACTGATTTTGGAGCCCAGAGCATCAAGCATACTAGCAAGCGATGAAACACTAAGCAGTCTATCCCCAGGACCCTCAGTTCTGTTTTGTTTTGAGACAGGGTTTCTCTGTGCAGTCCTGACTTTCCTGGAACTCACTCTGTAGATAGACCATGTTGGCCTTGAA